TAGAGCAGGCTTGTAGGAAGCAGGCTTGTAGAAACAGGCATCGAAGCTCGTGTTGTGGGAAGGCCTGACCCCGCACTCCTTCAGGCTGATGGAGCTCCTGTTGATGGTGTCTTCCTTTTTTGGGGGCATCCTGAGAGCACTAGGGGCAGAGGTGGGAGTCAGTGTAAAGAAGATGCAGGTGTCATGACCTTGGGTGTCCTTGGATTTGGAGTGGGGAGCATGCGCCCTCAGAGGTGGTGAGACTACAGGATGTCTGAGGGAAGTGGGGGGAGGGTGTCAAGGGAAGGGTCTCCAGTGTGCCCTTCGGAACCAGTCGTCCTGCAGTGCCCTGCTCTTGTCCCGGGTCCTCGGCGGTCATGGGCCACTGGCTTCCTGTCTCTCCTGGGCTCAGTGGGACACTTGTCCGGGTGCCAGACTGGATAGCTAGTCTCATCAGGCACTGGGTCAGGCTGCAGGGAGGTGGGAAGCGGGAGGGGCTGGGCCAGTTGTGTTGAGTGTCACCCGAGTGCTGGGCTGGGCAGGCAGGGGCAGGCTCTGCCCTTCACCCGCTCTCAGGGTGGAGTGGGGCCAAGCGAGGCAGAGAACAGGCTGGGGAGTTGTTGGGCTGTTTGGAGCTCAGAGGCCCCTTTGGTCTCTTGTCTCTGGGCCTCTGCCTCCCGATACAGGTGAGTAGGTGAGGTGGCAGGTGTGACAATTCAGCCTCCTCACTGCTCTTAGCGGTGTCAGGAGCGGGCCTGGTGGCTGGGTAGGGACTTGGGCCTTTTTCTTTGAGACGCTTGCTCCTCTCTGCCTTCTACCACCAGGTCTTGATTGTTTGCAGTCACAGAAATGACCACATGCTCTGTACTTTGCTGTAAATAAAGACTGAACAGAAAGCCACCTGTGTCTTCCTTGTGGTGCTTGCACAGGAGGAGCGGGGGCCACAGGAGGACAGTGGCTGGCCTTGTGGGGTGGACACAGCTCCGCTCCCTGTGGCTCGGCCCCGCAGTGCCAGCCAGACCCTGGAGATGAGGGCACTCGGGCATTTCTTCTTCGCCCCAAAGGCCAGGCTGCAGTTTCTGGAGGCTTCTGATCCCTGGACGTCTGGCTCCGAGCTCCTTCCCGCTGATGTCATCCAGTTTAGGCTATCCTCTGTCACTGCCTTCTCTGGGCCAGTCACCACCCCTTCTTCAGCTTCCAGAACCAAAACACAACCTAAATTAGAGGGTTTACATTGTAACCCCAGGTGAATGCACACACGTAACTGTCCTGAAGGAATATACCTGTGCTCTTAGATCAGTCCATGCAGATGGTCACATATCCCTGTTAGTAAAAGACCTCAATCACCCACCACCGGGGATTTTAAAATAATTGGCTTTTGTGCTCTGTCCCCCACCACCTTCCTGCTGTTCTCAGCTCCCCCTTCACCCCTTCACTCCCTGCCTCCCAGGCCCCAAGTGACCCTCCATGTGCAGGGACACTGCTCTTAACAGCCATGTGTTCCCCTGACATGCAAGCCCATCAAGGAACTGAGTGGAGCCAGAACTTTCATTGGAGGGGGCCCACCCTAGGGGGCTGCTGAGGAGCCTCTGTGAGAGCTGGTGGTAAGCCTGGCTGTTCCCTTCATGTGGATGGTACCACACGGGTGGTTGTGCTGGGTTAGCTGATCCTGGCTCCTCTGCATTGCTCTCACCTCCCCTGTCCTGGACCACCCCTGTCCTGGACCACCCCTGTCCTAGACCACTCCTGTCCTGGGTCACTCCTGTCTGGACCACACCTGTC